CATTGCTTCCAGATTCAAACAAATGTATTTTTATACATAAGATCTGATTTATACAGAAAATCTGATTTACAACAAAAAATAGACGCGTTTATATCCCTTCGGTAGGCCCCATTCACACGCAGCGATATATCGCGCGATTTCCACCGCGATATTGCGCATTTTTGCCGCGCGATATTGCGAGAAGTCGCCGGCTAATGGAGCTGTCTTAGCTCAATGTCGCGCATCGCTTCTACAGGAACCTTTTTTCGGCGGATTTTGCGCAATTTTGCTTTTTTCTAATGGAGCCGAACGGAGAAGGTGGCGCTACCGTCGCTGGATCGTCGCCCCGAAAGTCGCGCTATCCCGGCCGCTGCAAAAGGTATGTCGCTACGTGTGAACGGGCCGTAGGTTACACAGGCTAGACTACAAAAATAAGTTTCCCATCAAATGAAAGTAACAATTGCTACAAAGTTTAGATGAAAGGCGTTACTATAGTATCAGATTATCACATGACATGAACATTGAACAGAACAGTTTCAGATGAAATGCAAATTCTTCTTCTTTGTATAAAATGTCATGTGACCGACGATCCTCGGGCTGCGTATTCCTGGCAGAACGCACTCGCTACATCCATGGATCCTTTATACATCAAACTAAATGGAAGTTATTATGAAGGAACAATATTGTCTTCACGTTGTCACTCGTGAGCCGGCTCCTGTTTTCTGCGCGGATTTGCCCGGCCTTAGAGAATATCCTTTCGCACGGGACGCTGGTAGCGGGAACGCAAAGTCTTTTGACAACGACGGAGTATAAAATTGGATACGTAAATTTCCTCCTTTCCCACCAAAGAAGGGGATCGGCGGTGCGGGGCAAGTGCGGCTCCTCGATGTATTGCTCTATCTCTAGTATTGCCTCACATGTGGGGTCCGGCTTTGCTTGCAAATGATTCAAAGCAGCATCAAATTCCCCCCACACCGAGTGAGGAGATGAACTCTGACCTTGTGATACCGGCTGGTGATTCGATGATTCGGCGACTTGTCTCTGTGCGGAGACACTGACCTTCCCCACAAGCGCTTGATAGGCCGACCTGTATTTGGCTTCGTCCCCGAATCCTTGTTTCTTGAACCTCGGATCCAGAATGATGCATTGAGATATCATTTGGTTGGACTCTCTATTGCCGAAGCTCTTGGACAAGCCCTCCGCGAGTTGCTTCCCCAATTTAGAAACACTGTCGGGAATATTCGGGTTGTTTTCTAGGTATTGCGCAACCTTTCCCGACATTATTCTGGACAAAATGGACGTTTTTGATAAAGAAACATTGGTTTTGGAGGATAGTTCTTGAGTTACATCGTTAAAGACTGCCAACAGCTTGACACTATGGACCGCGGCTTCCCATTCACGTGCTTCCAAAACAAAATGTCCTTTCGATCCTAACAACGCCAAGACGATGGGCTCTCCGGTGTTCACTAATCGTTCTAACATGTCGTAGGTGGAATTCCACCTGGTGGGCTCGTCCTGTTTAAGGTGTAAGCGGTCGTTGCTCAGTGAACTTTGCATCTCACGGAGTTTGGCTGAAGCAGAGCTACTTTGTTTAAAGTATTGAACGAGTGCTTTTGCCTTGTCTACCAGCTCGTGGATGGACGATGATATCGCCTCTTTTACAATCGCATTTAAACTATGCGCAAAACACGCCACGTGCCTCAGATGTAAGTCGGCCGCGGCCGCTTTCACCTTGGCGCCATTATCAGATACAAGCGCGCAAATCTTGGAGCGTATGGAAAATGTTTCCAGAACTTCGTGAATCCAGGAAGATATATTAGCGCTCGTGTGGCGCTCCGGAAATTCCGAACATTCAATGAAACACGACCTGAGCCGAGTGACCGCGTCAATGTAATGAGCTGTGAGAGCATAGACACTGACATTGTGAACGTTTCTCCAACCGTCGCAAGTTATGCAAATTGCTCGCGCGTCAGACAGCTCGGCTTTAACTTTACCGAAAATCTGGTTATACACGGAAGGTAATAAGCTATGCGTAAGCGTTTCACGGCTCGGGAGGTTGTAATTGCTGTTTAAGAGATGTACAAAGTTCTGAAATTCCTCGTCGTCAACAATGGAGAGAGGAAGAAATTCCGCGCAAATCATTTTCAACAACTGAATATCAATAGATCTCTTTTTAGATATCGGAATCGGACGAATAACATCGGCAAAGCTGCTCGTAGGCGACTGAACCCGAGGCGTGGCTGCCTGCGTAGGCGACTGAACCCGAGGCGTGGCTGCCTGCGTAGGCGACTGAACCCGAGGCGGGGCTGCCGGTGAGACTGGAGATTGGAGACTGTGGCTGGCCGCGTCGCCAGGCGAGACACTCGCAGGACTGGAGACGGGAGAATTCGGGCGCTTTTGTTGCGAGTTCTCGTTTGATGCGGAAGGATCGTCCAATGAGGGAGAACGGGATCGGTTTCCTTGGCGGCGGACGGGCACTGTCGGGTGTCGCGTTCTTAAATGCCTCTTCAAGTTTCCTGTTGATCGCGACGCCAGCATCGCGCGGCAATATCGGCACTTCGCTCTTCCATCGCGCTTTACAAAATGGAACCAAATATCGGAGCGCAACTTGGAAGACGAGTTCACAGCTGAAAACAAAGCGATCCAATGAGACATCTTATTATTGTCCTCGGCAATTTGGTGTCTTATTTTATCATCATTTCATTTTGTAGTTACAAAGTTACAGAAAAATATTTCCATCTTATATGTAGAGGACAATAAAATGTATATGAATACACCGCTCAGTGTCTGCAACCTCCCTCTGCCAATCCCTGCACTGGCTTCCCCCACCCCCCTCTGCCAATCCCTGCACTGGCTTCCATCCCCCGCCCCCCTCTGCCAATCCCTGCACTGGCTTCCTATAGCCCAAAGGATAAAATAAAAAATATTAACAACCGCGTACAAAGCTCCACAACTCCGCCCCCGGCTATATCTCCAACCTGGTCTCTACGTATCACCCTAAGCGTCCCCTCCGCTCTTCACAAGACCTCCTGCTTTCCAGCTCTGTCATCAACTCCTCCCACACTCGCCTCCAGGACTTCTCTAGAGTCACTCCCATCCTATGGAACTCTCTACCCCAACCTGTCCGTCTATCTCCCCCTCTCACTGCCTTTAGGCGATACCTTAAGACTCATCTCTTCAGGGAAGCCGATCCCACCTCAACCATTCATCCCCACACAGCTCCCTCCTCATGTATCACTGGCCCCTCCCCTTTTAGATTGCAAGCTCTCAGGGTCAGGGCCCTCCTCACCATCTTGTCTTGAATTATAATGTCTTCCTTATATTGTAAAGCGCTGCGCACATTATTGGCGCTCTATAAATCCCGTGTAATAATAATAATGAATACGTTATAAACATCCCGGCAGTATAATGTATCCAATATTATAATATACTAATATATACTATATCCCGTATTTTTCCGTGTATAAGACGCTACTTTTTCATAAAAATCTTTATCTAAAAATAGAGGTGCGTCTTATACACGGGGGCCGCGGTTTCGAAAGTGCCGATACCACTGCAAACTATCCTCACGGATTGCAGAGACAAGATAACAGTTCCCCTCCAATCATAAATCTTTGGTACCGGACGTCAGCTGTTGCTGGGGAGAGCGTGTAGGCAGGGCCCAGAGCGGTAACGTCGGAGCATTCTGTGACCATAAAAATGTCAGAAAGTGAAAAACAACCTGTAAACTCTCTAAACTCATGGCCTGGTGTCAAACAAGAGGCGATTGTGACGTCCTTCAAGAAATGTGGAATCAGCAATGCCATGGACGGAACTGAGGATGATCTTGTATATAGACAGTGACTCAGCAGAGGCCGAATAAAGTGATTGGCTCAGAGGTAAGCGTGATGCATAATA